GGACGCACCCCTTCGGGCAAGCATGTATCTACTCATACGGCATCTTAAGTGCACGAAGGAGTTTCTGTGACTCGTGCATGCTCTTTGGCAGAAGGTGACCCTCCGGAAGCAGGCTGCCAATAACTATCAACATACCATCGAAGATGTCTCGACTCAGGCTATACTAGGACTTTAACGCCATTATGCGTCCAATGGCATCTAGTTGAGAAACCTTTGTCTGGCCGTGAAGGGGTTTCTGTGCCGCAGCAAACATGTCGTAGAACGCCTTTGCGGTTGCCTCTGGCTCCTCCTCCGTACGTCCTTCAGCGAACTGTGCCTCATGATAGTCATTTAACATGTTTGCTACCCTGGCATCAGCATCATAATCCTCGACGTGGTCTCACCACCTCCTCTCTCATACGATCGGCTTCACCATGGTAGACCCACCGAGTATAGTCTACCGTAAATCCATTCTTCCAAAGATGTTCCCCCATGACCTTCTTCATTTGTCTTTTTCTGTTTGCACATTTGTTGTAGGGACAACAAATTTTACTCGCTCCTTTAGCAGCCACGCCAAATGCCCGTTCCAAGAAAGCATCGGTCTTGTCGATCCATTCATTGGTGACCTGACCCTGACTTGCGCGGCCCGTGTACATCCACTCACGGTCCTCCATCCTCTAACATATATAGCGGCGAGTAATATAAACATCAATTGTATCTACACGACGTTCCTACTATCTAATAGGTGAGGATAGGTCCTAATCCCACGCGTGGATCCGTAGATGAGGTTAGTTTCCATGCTCTACTCCTATCCGAGACAGAATTTCGACAATACCTCCCCGCTGTTCTCCAAATACACGTCTTGTCAGGGAGAGTGTGTATCCGGAGAACAACAGGGAGATCATGCCAAAACTCTATCTCGGATCGGAGCAGACCATGGAAACAAACCCCACCTACGCATCCGCGGGCTGTCCAAAAAACGTAGACAATTCGAAACAGATACGGTTTTAGATATGGAAATATCTGCATATTTCCAACCGTATCTCTTTCGAACAGGAGATGCCTAACTGGGTTACGTGATCTACGACCATGATACGGAAAGAGGTGTTATACCTAGGGTGGCGGTGGAGTCAGGCTAGCGGGGCCGTGGTGGGTCGGTGCAGTGGCGAGGCGACGCGGTGCTGGCAGACCCGCAGCGGCGAGGAAGGCGATCGGGGTCGCCGAGGTACTCCGGTTCTGCTCCGACGGGCTCTTCTCTGCAAAAAAAAGAAATATAAAACTATCAATACAAAATTTCGGCAGCACCTCCCCTGCACGGTGAGGTTTTCAAAACCTGCAAGAAAACCAACGGCACAATGGCCGACATGCACATATATATGAACGGCACAATGGCCGACATGCACAAGATTATATCCAACCACATATATATAACAATGTCACAACCACTCCTACGACTCCTACGACTACCACCACTGCTACTCTACCACTACTACTACCGTAACTACTAGTAATACTACGACGACGACGATGGTAGGGCATACCTAGTGGGCGTCGTAGGGCGGCGGTGGTGAAGGGGCCAGGGGGCCGGTGGACAAGGCGACGGCCGGGGCGCCTACTCTCCTCCTCGTCCTCTCTTTCTCCTCCTCCGGCGGCGCGGCGCGGGCGGCGGCGACGGCGCTGCCGTGGGCGCGGGCGTGCGTGTGTGCGGTGTGTGTGGGCCGGTTGGGCCGGGAGGTTAAATCCCCCCTTTGCCGAGTGCCCCCGATCTGGCACTCAGCAAAGTTTTTTTTTTAATTTTTTTAATTCTTTGCCGAGTGTCACCTGGCCTAGCACTCGGCAAAGAGTTTTTTTTAAGAAAAATCTTTGCCGAATGCCTCTGGACTGGCGCTCGACAAAGAGGGGTTTTTAATTTTTTTTAAAAAAATTCTTTGCCGAGTACCATACGTCCTGACACTCGGCAAAGCGGTGATTTGCCGAGTGTCATTTTATGACACTCGACAAACCATATTTTTTTCACTTTTGACCTCTAAACTTTTTCTGCAGTTCTCATACAATACCTGATACTCCATGTTCCAATGTGACACATTTCTCGAACTTTTTCTATATTTCTTTAATTTATTTCATTTAATTGAATTTTCTTGGATAATTCAAATTATAACTGCTAGTCATTCGAATAATGAAAAAAATGAATGGAAAAATGATATTCATGTTATTTAGTATAATGTGAGGCCGTATCCAGGACCAGACCACCAATTTCGAACATCTTGTTCACGAAACATGACCACGAACTTGCGGTCGAGTTGTTTTTAAATTCTATAAAAAGCAAACGAAGTCCGAAAATCATGAAACTCGTCAAGATGTCATGATATCAAATGTGGAGGCTGTGATAAAAATTTGAGAAGGTTTCGCGCAAGTTGTCACATACGATGCTTACCACCTTGTCGGCCTCTTCACGAAATCATGAAACTTTTTCTGAGATTCTTCGGTTTGCAAGCACTTTGCCGAGTGTCAGAAGAAGACACTCGGCAAAGGGTTAACGGCGGCGGCCCTTTGCCGAGTGTCAGGAGAATAACACTCGGCAAAGCTAGTTTTGCCGAGTGCTAAGCACTCGGCAAACCACCTCTTTGCCGAGTGTCAGTTGTTTGCCGAGTGTTTTATCTCTGTCACTCGGTAAACAACCTCTTTACCGAGTGCCCGATAAAAAACACTCTGACAAAGTGTGGGACACTCGACAAAGAAGCCGTCTCCGGTAGTATATAGAGTCTCAGAATCTGCAGATGCAAGAACCCGTATCAAGGTGACTACTTGAACCCGGTGAATAGTTTTCATGAGGAAGGGATATAAGTAGCTAATAATCTACGCTCAATTCGTGAAAAATACAGGAATGTGATGACTGCCCTTGATAAGGTAGGATCTCAATAGTGAGAGGAAGAATGTGAAGCTAGATTCCACCATTCTTGGACAATCAATGGATGGCGTCCGATCCAGACGGCCAAAAAATCACACGCCTAGTCGACGACCCCTTTATAAACTACCAACTAATACTACTAGTGACTAGAGTATAAATTGGGTAGAATTAAGTAATAAATCGTATATGTTATTAAGCATTCATGCATTCAGCTGGCTACACACTGTACATCGACATCATGCACAGTGCATGATGCATGCATATGACCTAGAGGTAACCATCCATCTTGTGTACGTGTGTTTAGGGGTAAGTGTGCGTGTGTTGAGTGTCTACGTTTGTACTTATGTAATTCGCAAAAAAAAAAATCAGTGCATAATGCATGTGCATGCATATGATCCATATGATGAAGAGCCATATCTTTGCTTAGCTAGCTAGCCTGCCGCGCGAACAAACACATTATTTCACGAAAAGCGACCAAGCAGGAGCTAGCTGCCAAAACGACTGGGAAATCGTTCTGTCTGCAGGTTTTACATGTTGATACTCCCCCGCCCAAAATAAGTGTTTTTTTTTACTTTCCCATGTTGTTTGATCTCGTCTTATTCAAAAATTTTATATAAAATATAAAATAAATATTATTATTAAAGTATCTCTTATGATAAAATAAGTCATAACAAAATACTCCCTCCGTCCGTAAAAGAATGTAATTATGTGATACGTGTCAGTCAAACTGATTTAAGTTTAACCAAGTTTATAGTAAATAGTATTAATATTTATGTCTCTAAATAAATTTATTATAAAAATATATTCTATAACTAATCTAATGATACTTATTTTGTATCATACTTGTCAAAAAGTGAGAATTGCATTCTTTTGTGGACGGAGGGAGTAGATAATATTTATTAATTTTTTTGAATAAGATGAACAGTCAAACAAGATGTCTAAAAGTAAAAAACACGTCATTTAATTTGGGACAGAGGGAGTATGTCGTAGTACAACACAAGATCAATCCCACGCAAAAGCTAGCTACCTGCTAGCCAATCAGATCTCTGAAAGGTCCCGTGTGGTGAATTGGGTATCTACTAATCTCAAACTTAATCTTAGGGCTCAGCTCAGCTTAAACTAAAAGTAGAAAAAATATAAACGGTTCTAGCAAGATGTACACTTAAAGATTTTTTGTATGCTCTAACTTACCTATACGGCTATACAACCTAAAATATTTTTGCATCCTAGAACCAATCATACGAACTAGCCTATGGTTAATCCAAAAAGATAAAATCCACACAAGAAAATCATATGTACAAGCAATAGTCACAGCAAGCAAAGAGCTTAAGTAAGATAAGGCAACATGATAGTATATCATGTGCTATCACTTGACAAAACACAACACTTAGTCCACGTTGAGCTCCGTCGAGGTACAAACTACCTAGTCACGGTGTTGATTAATTTGTTACACAAGGCATTCCCCAACCATGGACTAGGGACGTGAGTCATGAAGTCTCATCATGTCAGCCGTCTCTTCCGATCACCTTGATATTCCTATACACTATGGGTGTGTTTGGTTGCCTGGCTTATCCCTTAGCCAGGCTCCAACAATACAAGCCTGGAGGGTCACTGGTTAGAAGGCCCCTACGCAAGAAGACCTCAAGTCCTCCGACTCAATGATATGCAAGGGTGCAATAGCCTATGGCCCTGTTCGTTTGGCTGAAAAACATTATTCCGGCTAAATTATTATGAGAAAAACACTGTTCCGGCTGAAAAAAGAAGCCGAATAAACCAGAATATAAGCTAAGTCGAACGGGCCATTAGATTCAATCGGTTTCGAAAGTTAAAGAAACAACCAGGTCTCCGATGGAAGGAGGAGGATGTAACTTCGATCAAATTCACAGGATGTAACTTGAATTATTTTTTTCCCCTTGTTTTCTGCGTACTTGCGCTTTTTGCGTAGCATAAGTAAACCCTGTCCGGCGAGCGGGAAAATGCGCAGTATTTGGAATAAGGCCTGGCCCATAATCACAAAGACGGCCCAGCAGCAGAACTCTAGGCCTCCACTCCACTCCACACTCCGCCGCAAGCATCCAACTGAGCCCGGAACCAGCAGCATCTCGCCGACCGGATGCATCTCGCCGCCGACCTCCCCCCGCACCGGGGCCGAGGCGGCCCCGGCGCGGGGCCCATCGCGCTCGCTTCCGCCCTGCTCCGACGCGAGAACCACCGGCGCCGCGCGCTCGCCTGCGGGGCCGTCCTCGCCTCCGCGCTGCTCCTCGTGGCCACGCCGCGGTTCCGCCACACCCCTGCGCTCCACCTATTCGCCGACATGCGCAATCTCCTCGGCGTGCCCAACACGCTCAACGTGCTCACCGCCTACCCGCTTCTACTCGCCGGGGTCCCGGGCCTCGTCCTCTGCATCTGCGGCAGCGGGTGCTTCGGCGTCAGGTGGCCCCCTGTTGTTTGATGAAATGTCTTACTAAACAAGTTCGTCCTTTGTCCTGGTTTAATAATTTGCTTACACGTGATCGATGATCCTTAAATAAATTGAAGAATTGTGTGGATAACCAATGTTTTTGGCATAGTAGTTGTAAAAGAATCGAATCTGTTCGGTTATACTCGAAAGCTTCGGAACTCAGAAGAGGCAATACGTGATTAGTTTATTGTACTACCGTGCCCCAATGAGGTTCCTCTAATTCAGTGGATTTTTTAGTTAAATGAGAATTGCCAATGAATCATATTGAGATCCTTTTCTGTTAGGCTTGAATATCTCAGCCATGTCTTCTAGCATCTGCTTGCTTTGCTTCAGATTATGCAATCCAATCTTGCCACAGTATTCGGTATAGAATGGTCCGGATAATGGGATTTGAATCATGGGTGTTCAATTAAAATAGGCTGATATGCTTCAATGGAAGCCAATAAATGAAATGTGTGTGACTTTCCTGCTTGTTCAGATATGCCACTTCATGTGAAACTAATCTGGATTTCTGTGAGGTGTGCTGCTTCAAGAAATTTGCTATCACGAATGATAACATGTCACTTTGTGGAATCATGTAGCTTGAGATGGGAGGCCTTGGGATGGTTCCTCTTTTATGCTGGGAATGTAGCAGCAGCATTTGGCTCGGCTTACTATCATCTCAAGCCAGACGATGACCGCTTAATTTGGGACAGGTTGCCGGTACCTGAATACTACTTTCTTACTGTCATCTTCTCCTCTATTGTTTACTCATTCCTTATTTTCACATGGTTTGGAGTGCATTTGGTCTTTGAGAGATTAGTGTTAAAAATGTATTTTATGCTCTTTAAATCCAAATCTTTGACCATTACGTAAAACCGTGCACACCTGGTTTTTCAGGGTTTTAAGTAAGAGACCGCTAATTGCTAAAAAAAATGATCTGAAATGAATAATTCATTTGCAAATAGACAATGAGATGGATGAATATAGAATAATTTGTTCTGGTTATGGATACTTACTTGATGCTCCTGCGATGCAGATGATGATATCATCCTCCTCACTTTTGTCAATATTAGTAATTGAAAGAGTTGATGAGAGGATTGGGCTATCTTGTTTGATCTCACTCCTATCTCTTATATTACTGAGCAGTGCATGTGAAAGGTATAAATATGTCTCACACTCCTTCAGCTTGTTCCTCTTATGGTTTATCTCAAAATGAATACTGGAAATGAGTCCTCATCATATGTTCTTCTGGCTGATTAGGGTTCTTGATGATATGCGTTTATGGGTGATTCTGAACTTTGTTCCTTGCATCGCCATTCCTGCAATGCTATTCTTGTTTCCTCCCAAGTATACACATTCAAGGTTTTGGTTCCTTGCTACAGGTAGCTGTAACCGGCCCACTGCAATCAAAATCTGTTAGCCCTTAGCGAAAACTTTTATTTGATTGGCATCTGGGTGCAGGCTTTTACCTTTTGGCAAGATTTGAAGGCCTTGCTGACAGGAAAGTTTACAGTGTGAACCGGTACTTCATTAGCGGCCATTCCCTGGAGCACCTTTGTTTTGCCCTGGTGACGTTTATACTAACTGTGATGCTGTCCTTCAGAAATATTAAGATTGCCAGGTAACCACATGATTAAATGTTATGGTACTTGAACTCTTTGAATAAATGTTATGAACACATGATTGTCTAGGTGCGGTGGATGTCACCGAGGAAACCATTGTTCGGTTGTCACCTTCTATCTGAATAAATGTTATGAACACATGATTGTCTAGGTGGGGTGGATGTCACCGAGGAAACCATTGTTTGGTTGTCACCTTCTATCTATTAAAAATGCTAGGATGGACGTCTCTCCCCCTAGTCGAATATGAACACATGACTATTCTGCTCAGTTTACACTGTGATTACTTGAGATAGCATATTCGAGCATGAGTCCATATTTGTTCGAGCAGCTTTATGTGCTTATACACTTTCACTTTTAAAACTTCCGTACCATTTCCCTGAAGTGCAAGCAGTATCCTCCTTTTTTTTGTTAATGATTATTCTGCATCTTCTCCACAGGGACTCCTGACCTGTCACTGATTGTAACATGGGTGCAGAAATTCTGTGAAAAAATTGCAAGTTTGGAAGACGGACTCCCGGAGGACAAAGAGATCCGGCTAGATTCCTAGTAGATAATCTACCTTAACATTGTTCCTGTTGCCGGGGTTGATTCACCCTTCCCCGTGTTGTTTCAGACTGATGGTGGCATAGGTCATGTAGAGGGCGCAATTTATTGGTCTGTCCATTTCATACTGTGAAAAATTATGTGTCCGTAGTGTTGTAGACATGGAAAAATTGGACGGCGAGATTGCATTGTATACAGACATCCAACTGTGAAATGACATGTTCTGTTATTGTGCCATGCGTAGTGATAATTAGCTGGGATCTGAGACTCATCAATCGCTGCTCTTGCTGTGTTCTTTCTGGTCTACGGTATATCTGTAGTGTAGTTTTATGATATTCGATTATTTGTCCACGTCGGTGTGAATTTTTACAAAAATGTTTTCAAGTATTTGATGTGGATATAAGATTTCAATTTAGCAAAACGAAGATTGTGTCATTGAAGGAGAATTTAGCAGACCTCATGGTACGCTGATTTGATCTGTATGCATCTCCTCCGCGCGCTCCGCGCGTCCTCCTCTGCTCTCCGCCGCAGCCACCGCCTGATTTCCGCCTTCGCCTTCGCTGTCGACCAGCAAATCCGTTGCCACCCGCCGATTGACAGCGCCGTGCCATGGAACAAGCTCCTCCGAGACCACATCGCCGGCTCCCGCCCGGGCCTTGCCCTCGCGCTCTACCGCCTCATGCGCGCGCTCTCCCCCGTGCTGCCCAACTCCTACACGCTGCCGCTCGCCCTCCGCGCCGCGCCTTCCTGGCGCCTCGCCTCTGCCGTGCACGCCCACGCGATCCACCTCGGCCTCCACTCCCACCCGGACGTCGCCGGCCAGGTCCTCGCAGCCTACGCCAGGCTCGGCCGCGCGGTCGAGGCCCGCCGCGTGTTCGACGCATTGCCGGTGAGGAGGAGCACCCTCTCCTGGAACACGCTCATCTCCGCGTGCTCCATCGGGTGCGACCACGACGCGGCGTGGGCCGCGTTCGCGCGCATGGTGGCTGCCGGGGCGTGCCCGGACGCCGTGACGTGGACCACGCTGCTCTCGGCGCACGCGAGGTGCGGGAGGCACCCGGAGGCTCTTCGACTGTTCGGGGACATGCACCGCAGTGGGTGCGAGGGCAATGCCGAGGCCGTCGCTGTGGCGCTCTCGGCGTGCCCGTACGCCGGCGGCCCTGCACTGGCGAGGGGGAGGTCGATACATGCTTACGGCTTTGTGAAGGGCGTCGTCCATGGCTACCTGTTCGTCACCAACTCTCTGGTGTGCATGTACGGCAAGCTTGGAGAGATGGAGGCGGCTGAGAAGGTTTTCTGGGATGCTGGGACGAAGAAGAATGCCGTGACATGGAACGCTCTCATCACTAGTTACGCCGCTGCTGGGTTGTGCGGTGAGATGCTCGGTGTGCTTGCCCGGATGGAACAGTTTGGAGGCATAGTCGCGCCCAATGTCGTGAGCTGGAGTGCTGTCATTGGCGGATTCGCGTCATCAGGGGACATGGAGCAAGCACTGCAGCTGTTCCGGCAAATGCAGCAACAGTGGCTTTTGCCGAACGTGGTGACATTAGCGACAGTTCTTTCAGCTTGCACAGAGTTGCTGGCGTTGCGGCTGGGTCAGGAGGTCCATGGCCACACGATCAAAGCAGCCCTAGACCGACATTCGCTGGTCCAGAACGGTCTCGTCAACATGTACGGAAAATGTGGGAGGGTGACTGCTGCGCGCAAGGTGTTCGATCGGATGAAGAGCAGGGACTTGATTTCATGGAACTCGATGATCGGGAGTTATGGCACGCATGGATTGTGTGATGAAGCCCTTGCAATGTTCCAAGACTTGACAGGGGCTCTTGTTGAGCCTGACGGTGTTACATTCGTCGCCGTGTTGTCTGCATGTAGCCACACAGGGCGTGTCACAGAGGGCCGCCACTTGTTCAACCAGATGGTGCGGGAGCACAAGATCTCCCCAACCATGGAGCACTACACCTGCATGGTTGACCTCCTGGGGCGTGCCGGCCTGCTGAAGGACGCGTCTGAGCTCATCGAGACGATGCCAATGAGGCCCGACCTGTGCGTGTGGGGAGCGCTGCTCAACTCTTGCAGGATTCACGGGGATGCAGCTGTTGCCGAAGCTGCCATAGCCAAAGTTCTGCAGGCTGAGACGGTGACCACCGGCAATCACACGCTGATCACAAACCTGTACGCCGCGTTCGGGATGTGGGATGATTCCAAGAGGGTGAGGGTGATGACAAAGGAGGCAGGGTTGAAGAAGAATCCGGGTCAGAGCTGGATTCAAGTGAGGAACAAGGTGTTCGCCTTCACGGCCGGGAGCATGCCGTCGTCTGAAGCCGAGGAGATTCTCAGGGTGCTTGACGATCTGTATGCGGAAATGGAAGACGAAAAGCGTGCCATGTATGATGCCATTGCAAACATTGTGTAGAACAATTGCCATATACTGTGGCAAGATTGCTAGGTCAGGAATCTAAAAACAAAAGATTGCTAGGTCAGGCAAGGGACACATCTCATCATACAGAAAGCGAACGGAACTGAAGAGCTTGGCTACTAAAGATGTTGTGGACCGAAGAAGAGCATCAGGGTCTTGCAGATCTCTGACGGCTCGGCCATCGCGCCGCTGCCGTAGTCCCCGCAGGCCAGACGCTTGGTGACCGGCTGGACGATGGACATGCCGAGCTCGCGCAGGACTGCGAGCTGGCGCGCCGTGAAGGGGTTGTCCCACATGAAGGTGTTCATGTCCGGCGCGATGTAGACGGGCTTGCTGTAGTCCCAGGCGCGCACCACGCAGGTGAGGAGGTTGTCGCACAGCCCGCCGGCGACCTGGCGCGGCACGGCGTCAGGCAGAGTTGTCAGCGGTGGGAGGCGAGCGTCGCGCTGACAAGAGGCAGCTGGCGTGCGTGCGTACCTTGGCGAGGGTGTTGGCCGAGAGCGGAGCGATGACCAGGGCGTCTGCCCACCGGCGCAGCTCGATGTGCAGGACCTCGTCGCCGACCCGCCTCCAGCGGGACCACTCGTCGTCGTCGGTGTAGAGCGGGACGCCGTCGGGGAAGGAGGCCTCGTCGATCAAGTGCAGAGCGGACGCGGTCGCCACCGCGCGGACGTCCGCCCACTCGGCGACGCTGCGGCAGAGGCCATCGAACTTGATGGCGGCCACGCTGCCGGAGGCCGCCAGGAGGACGCGAGGGCGCCGTGGAGGCCCACCCCCCGACGACGCCGGCTCCTGGTGGGCGGCCATCGCAGCAGCAATGTGGAGGGGCCGAGGGGGAGAAGACGCGCAAGCGCAAGGCAAGACTGACTACGAGATCGAGACGCCTAAACACTACTCCTAGAAGAGTACTCGAAGGAAGCAGGCAAATCCAATTCAATTCAAGCTGGATAGGCGGGAGCCGGGACCGGGAGGCAACGAATTAATGATGTACTCGATCACCGCAATTTACTCCTTGTTATTATACAGGACAAATTCAGATTAGGGCCTTGTTTAGATACCCTCAAAATTCCAAGTTTTTTCACTCTCTTCGTCACATCAATTTTTAGCCGTTTGTATGGAGCATTAAATGTAGATAAAAAAATAACTAATTGCACAGTTTAGTTGAAAATCACGAGATGAATCTTTTGAGCTTAGTTGGTCCACGATTGGACAATATTTACCAAATAAGACGAAAGTGCTACTATTCATGAGTTTGATTTTTTTTTCAATCTAAACGAGGCCTAGATCCTGAATGCTGAAACCACGTATGCAGAGTTCCAAACACGCACACGTCTCTTCTTCAGTTGATTGATACCGCTCTCACGTCACGGCCAAGCTGAGCCGTCATCGTCAACTGCATATCTCGCCGGGCACCAGAAGCCCTAGTAGTGAGTAGTGATAGTGTGATATCAGGGAGGCAGGGGCGACATATATCACGACATAGCCCTTTTAATAATCTGCCCAGAATCATGCCAGGAGACTCCTAAGTGGCAGGGGCCCAACATCTTATTAGACGAGCGCGGCGTTACACCAAACGGTTCGATGCAGGCATACAGCAGCTGCTCTCAAGGAGCAGGCTAGGATTTCATGTTTAGACTACCCATGTTGAGATCTGCTATCGTCAGTGAGCCCAGGTAGGGGCATTGTGTCCTACTTGGACGAGAATGATCTCAGCTTCCCGTTGCGCTGCCAGAAGGCGGTGTCCTCCTTCTCCTTAGCCAGCAGCTCCTCGAATGATATCTCTTGGGCCTCCATCTCCATAGCACTGAGCTCCATGATCTGCCATGGTAAACAGTCCAGAGTCTGTCACAACCAGGACGCTGAGGTGGTTACGACTTACAAGGAGAAGAGAAGCGACGTGCCATTTTGTATGCTGCTGACTTCTGAAGACGCTCTTGAATATTGTTGTAGATGGCAGCATCTTTCTTTAGGTTATCGCGCTCGGTTTCCAATCTACGTACCTATGAAGATGCGCATGGGTACACAGAGGAGTAATAATAAACTGAAGTTAGCACAGACAGTATGCAGCCCTACACATAAAGTTTACTTAGTTGCCTTGGCAATTTTTATCCCCTTATTAAATGACTAACCTGTTCAAAGAGGCGTTCGTATGAAGACCTATAGTTTCGATGGTTGGATAGCATTGCCTTCTTTATTTTGAAGCTTCTTTGTACATTCTCGTACCTGGTAAGATCATATGAATAAGACATTACTGGAGGTTTGCAAAAACATTTGAAGTTGTGGATGTCAGAAGGTAAGTTTCATGTAAAGAACAACGTACCTCTGCAGCAACTCGTTTCTAGCATCTCTGAGACAGTTAACAAACTCATTAACCTGAAAAAACAAGGCAGAGAGCATATACCTTTTGTAAGTACACTCTGTGACTTATAGAGCCCGATGAGGAAAAAAGACATATCAGTGATCGCAAACATAGTAGAATATTCATTAGGTGCACTGAAACTAGTTGTGACCCTAATAAAAACAAAATATGCAAACCTATGGTTATAGACTTATAGTGGACATTTTTGTTTATGAAGTTACTTTTGTCATCGATCTGAGATTCTGAATTTAGTCATGCAATTTTGTAATACCAGCTTTCTTTTATTCTTTTTAAGGACCTGTATTGCAGCATTACAGTCCATACTCCATACCCTTTCGTAAAGCAATCCTGGGTAAAATGCACGAGATGCACAACGCTAGTCCTGACCTAAAATCATAGGCTGACACCCATAGTTATGTGACAGGTGACAGAACACTTGGATGAATTAGCATACAGAAAGCTAAAAGAATACCAGGAGAAGCATCACCCGTTGCAATAAAGTCATTGGCTTTTACGACCTATGCCCTCTGTTCCAAATCATATGTTGTTTTGGCTTTTCTAGATCTAGACATAGCATATATCACTACTTCAGCAGTACTTTTCAGCGAACGAACAATGCTTTTCTCTCACAACAAATCAGAATAAGCAGCAGCATAAGCCAAATTTCAGCGAAACAAACAGGGCCCTAGGTGTAAAGAAAAAAGCTATGTACCTAGAAAAGCTAAAACGACCTACAATTTGGGACAAAGGGAGTAGTTGGTTGTCAGGCAACATATGGAAACTTGAGCTATGCAAGGAGGTGTCATGCCCACCATCCACCATTCCAATGTCTTACAACCCATTTGAACAGGGATAATTGCTCTAGGAATTCTGGGAATTTAGTTGAGATAAAAAAAATTGAAGGATTTGAAAACCAACACAAACAGGTCCTTCACTCCCATGAATAATGAACTAGGTAATTGATGAGAAGGCATTTCTATTTTAGATATTGACCTTAAATGTACCCAAGATAGGGCCTCACCTGTACTTTCTCATTGAAATATTTAAAAAAAAAAAAAGAAAACTCTCTCAATGAAATCATCTTTTTAAAGGGCTTATATGATGAAAGAAGCAAAACCACAGTAACACTTAGTTTGTCAAGGTTGAGATGTTTACCTCCAGTTCAGACCCTAGAGTATGAACAAACAAAACTAGTGTCGAGGACCTGACCATTTAATCAGGTTTACAAGGTTGTAATGGCAGCCATGATCATACAACATGCACAGGGGCATCATGCAGCACAAGAATTGAAATTTCAAAAGAATTTTTTCAACAATACACTAGACTTTATACTTCCAGTTAGTTAAAAGTAAGTAATGTTTTTGGAATATGAATACATGTAATCAATGTGATTTAGTCTTGACCTACAGTATCTTTATAGGAGTATAAATTGGCCATATGAAAATCATAAACACATTTTGCCTTAAAAAAACTTCAATGATATTAAAACATATATTAAGCATATAATAAAACATATATTAAGCATATAATAGGATGATAAACACATGTTTTAGCCATTTAGCCTTCTCAACAAATAGTTGATGTAAAAGTAGGCATATCATGATCTAACAACAATAGGCGTTACTCATAACAAAACAACAAGCACAGGTATCCTCCATAGAACAAGCTGTCAGTTGACAAAGTCAGAGAACACATTGTCAAGAAAAGGAATGCAGTGTTTTGTTCCAATACTACTGAACTGTAGTGATCTTGAATGCAGTATTTTGAAACTCAACTCGCCAAGTAATATTGCAGCAGAAAGCTATGCTTACATGCTAAAGACTCGGAAAATAGGCTTTGATATTTCAATTCAAATGCTAACCACAACATATAAGATCAATATAAGCACTGAAGCTACCCACTTCAGTCATAGTGCACCACTGTCTTCTAAAGTAACATTTTACAGTCTTAATTTTGAATAGATCTTGAACTAACAAGTGAACAATATGCTGCTACATTGGTAACTTCAATCCTAGACGAACTATCAAGAGTACTAGGCTGTTAGTAGATATACTGTATTGCTATACCTCGTATCTTAACCCAAAAAAAGGAAATAAATAAATAAATAAGCATTGCAGAACTATGTCAGAGCTTAGGGGCTAAGAGTTGCCTTATTTATGCTGCAAGCTGAGGGTTCAATCTACTTCAACTTAATAAGGAGTATTAGAGTTAACTCCAACTCTTCAAGAAGAAAAGAAGAAGCAGATATTTAAATCCTGCTCATTTGATAAGAGATGCAACTTTGAACACCATAAAACAACTGGGACAACCATTCTATTAGCTTGTTTGGATTGCACAACACAAAAAAGGCTCAAGTTGGTGAACCAAAATTTCATCATACAAGCTCTACAGTCACCAAAATTTCATACTCCTTGTATTACCGGTACCCAGATGGCCAAATCACACCAGCATCTCAAATCAAACAGAACCCAAAACACTAAACAAATCTATGGATAATTGATAGCAGAAACTGCAGAAAGAATCTACCAACCAGATCTTTTGTAATTTTAGCATAGGAAAACTCAGCATAAATAGAACTGATCCGTCGTCTCAAAGCACAGCTTAACATCAAGAGGGGTAAAGGCGGCCTTTCTGGAATCAATGGTTCGCCCGATTCATGATTCAGGTGGCGGCACGGAGTCATCAGTGCCATGGCGAAACCAAGGAGGAAGCGAGCGTAAGATTTTTGCATGGCTGCAGGTTGTGGTGGAAGGTCAGGGGCGAAATCCTCGATGTCGAGAATTAGTCGGCCAGGCTAAAACTAAGTCTATCCTGTAATCAATTGTAAGGTATCCGCCGAGGGGAAAGGGGAGTGAGGAGGTGCGAGGCACGCTCCCGTTTGGGGATTTTTTTTATTTTTTTATGAACGGCCAAAAACAATAAATACTGCTGATGCTGTCAATAGCATTGCCAAAATTACACCCACAGCTGACAAAGAAACACAATTAAAGTTTTGACACTTTGTACTAATCTCTTCTAGCTAATTTAGTAATCGACAATATAAAAGCATGACAAGGTCGACTTGCAGGTAAGTTCTTGAGTTCGCATAGAAATTTGTAATTCCCAATATAGTGTGTGTACCTGCATGTACATGTGGAAGAATTCATTCTCCTTTAGTTTGGGTTACTGTTAAGCAAGGTGACAGTATGATGTCAAGCTGTATACGTGAGCACCAGTGCAACTAGGATACATGGCATTTCATGCCCATATGTTAAAAACGAAATGGCAGTTTGTCAGTGATGAGTTCACAGTAAATTTCGGGCGTCATGGCAATAGACAAATTCTATAAGCATCCTAGTAGCCCTCATCAGGCGTGCAGCATTGAAGCCGAATTGGCATGGAAAATGGACATTCCAAGCGCTAACTCTATCCCTAGACTGCAATCTGAGCAAAAACCAGTCTAGAAATCAACAGCAGGTAATCTGCGCTTTGCTGACCAATCCCGCCACATTGCAGGCAACAACACTTGTCGCCCAAGCAGCGAGGCTACGGCCTAAGTTTACCTCGCAGACACACTGAGTAACGAAGCAAAAGCATGTAGAGCCCTGGCCCTGGCAGAAGCAAGTGGAAGGGTAATGCGCTGCGGGCCTGCGGCTCACCTGTTCGATGGTGAGGCACTGCGCCTCGCTGGCCCGCGCGAGGTCGTCGTACCGCGCGTTGATCCGCCGCTGCAGCGGGCCAGCCACGGAGGCGAGCGGGAACTCAGGCCGGCGGGGGAGCAGCGCCTCCTTCCCCGCCGCCTTCGCGGCGGCGTCCCGGTCCCCGTCCGCGCCGTGGCCACCACCCTCCGCCGCCGCCGCCCCCTCCTCCTGCTGCTGCCGCTTCCTCCGCGCCCTCCTCCGACGCCGCTGGTTCTGCGGCCGCTCCCCACCGCCGCCTTCCTCCTCCTCCTCCTCCGCCTCCCCCGCGGCGGCCGCCTCGAGCGGCGGCGGGACTTGCTGCCGGGGCCTGCGGCGGCCGAGGACGTGAAGGCAGAGCGCTGCCACGGCGAGGACAAAGTTGAGGAGGATGAGCCCCGCGAGCGCTATCGTCTGCGGCGGTGCGGCCATTTGCGGCGGGCGCGCGTCATCCCCAGTCGGGGCGTGCTGCGATTTCCACTTGCTCGTTTCTTTTTTCTCTCCTCACTTTCTTTTTTTTCGTGGGAGTGCGCGCGCCGTGTGCTTGCGTGGGCGGAGGCGGACTTGGGATTCACTCGGCGCCGCGTTTTTTAAAAGCGTCGGGCCTCGGGCGGAGAACGAGAGTTCCCAGCGGCGGATTGCGCGGCCCGCGCACTTGCAGTTGCACGACACGATTTGCTTCCGCCGCGTCGTTCGTTCGGATAAGGACGAGGAGAGCTTTTGAGCCTGAGGCCTCCTGGGCTGGTTGCTGCCCATGCCGGTTCGCCGCCGGCTGGGGGAACCAGATTGCTCTGGAAGACTGGAATGCTTCCAGCTTTTATTAGAGCGTGTTTAGTTCCAGTGAGTTGGAATTTGAGACTACTTTAGCATTTTCGTTTTTATTTGGTAATTAGTATTCAATCATGGACTAATTAGGCTCAAAGCGTTTGTCTCGTAATTTCCCACCAAACTGTATAATTAGTTTTTTTTTTCGTCTACATTTAATGCTCTATGCACGGGCCGCAAACATTTAATGTGATAGGCACTGTAACACTTTTTGGAAATTTAGGGTGGAACTGAACACGCGCTTACTTGGGGGATTCTACCTTGCAAAACCATGTTAATAAGCTTTCGATCAGAAAGTTCAGAACTGAGGGCACCGTGGCCCTGCTCCTGCATACGGATGGAGGAACCAAAACAAAGGAACACCAGACAGCGGTTTCAACAGAGAGGAACACATTTCAGTTGGACGACATTCAAAATAATAGGCAGTGCAAAAAACTGCCGAGGCTATTCATTCCCAGTTTCCCACAGCATCTATGCGCTCAGAGCTTTAGCTTGTCAACATAAATCACAGGAATGAAACAGAAAAAGAAAACAAAGGCGTGTGTAAAAGCAGAATCATCACAGATGTTTGCAACAAATTCACATGACATGGTTAATTACCTACACGAATTTCGGTCGATTACAACACCCCAAATCGGGCCTTCGTTTTATGTGTCATTCACCAATCACCGAAGACTAAGATCTCCCACACTCGAGCTGCTTTGCAAACATCAAGCTATCATACTCGCAAGCCGCAGGTCAGCCCAGACATTCAGAGTCTTTATTTTCGCGCGGTCTCCAGAGTTTGTGCGTATCTATGATGCTCCATTCGCAGAAACATGCTGATGAATATACAGTGGTGGTGGTGGTGGTGTTCGCTAACCATTTGGTCCCAGTCTCGCTATTGCATCTGAATGCGCTGTGACTCGTGTGTCCTCTCGGTCGCTGGGGTCAAGACTAAAGAGAAACCTTTGTGCGAGCATGATACCAATATCGTTACACCTCGGAGCTGTTCACTTTGTTGCAGGTTGTGGAGGTGTGGCAGAAGTGGGGGTTGTTTTCCTGCCAAAGATAGTTCATTAGTTTGAGCCCGCTCCTCCTAAAAGACTTTGAAAATAGTACTTATTGACCAAGGATGCTTTACTGGAAACTTGAGCGCAGCTCGTCTGCAATATGTTGTGAAGAGGCACCACTTGTGAAGCCCAATTGAAACATCAGTTGCTCTAACCGTTTGAAATCTGTGAGGTAAAGATAACCAATCTAACAGAAAACAACATTAACAATGTGGCAATTAGTCTGAACAAAAATTGCAGCATAAAATAGAATAATACACAGTTTTAGAGTATTGCACACCAGTGTTTCAAGTGAAGATGCCCGATTGTAGACTGCGATTCCTGCACGCTTTCTGGTGCGAGTTTTGCTGCTAACAATATTCCTCCCCCAACGAAGTATGTCCCTACAAATGTGATTAATCATGTAACTCAAAGTAAGTCTTGAAGGCTCATTATTATTGAATAGGCTCAAGGCCTTGAACAGTGTAGAAAAAGTAGAGAGATACAACATTTTCCCAAAAACAAATATGGTAACTCCCAAATACCCATGCTAGTCGTGGCAAATGGCAAAATGCTATCATTCCGTATAACTTCATGCATGCATTTTAAGACTACAGAAGAGCATTTCTCTATAGAAACTATATTGCTGATAGCGTTGCATAAATTGTATAAGATTAGCATTTATGCTTCACCTTTCTTCTTCAGTTAGAAAATCCTCTCCAAGAAGCTTGTTCAACAAAAGGTCCTAAAGCGAGGAAAAAGCACAGTTATAATGACAAGATTTCTGAACAACATATCATTACACAGAACTGGATATATGTAGAAAGCTGAACTGGAAAACAACAAAAGGAATGAATACCTTTTGGAATCCGGGAAGTCTAACTATATAACCACAATATTGTAAGTGAAACAACATATAGAAACACCAATAACCCACGATACAAATGCCTAGCATTAGCAGATCACAGAATTTATTCTGACATCACGTCATATAATTACCAATGAATGTGGAGTTTTGGCCAATAAAAAGGATAGGCAGACCCATACCTGTGACTCACACTTCACAACATCCATCACACGTTTGTTGTACTCATTGATGCTCAGAGGTGGAAAGAAGAAGTGCTTCCGAGCATAAAGCTGTATACAGAAAGAGAAAGAATCAGATCTTCCTACAGAAAGCAAGCTTCAACTTGACAACTAGTACACTTCTATATCGGTGTTCACACGGCCTGATTCTCACTTCATATATGCAGTCTCCCAAGTAAGCCAGCGACGCCGCACTGTAGAGCGATCGGGGTTTCTTCACCTCTGGCGGAGGTGGCAACCACCATTTCTCAAAGCCCATATATGTGCTCTTCTTTACCACTCCTGTATCAACCATATTAATCAAAGATCAAACTTGAAGCTTATGGTGAGGAATAATTGCAAAAGGCACACACTATCAACAGTTGAACACATTGGATTAGTTTTTTTTTTTTTTTGATAAGTCAACGGGAGGGGAGAGAATCCCCCACCTGATAGATATATTAATCATGATTGGCACATTGGATTAGTTAGTTACCATCATTGCTTTTTTTTTTCCTTAAGGTGGAGTGGCAAATAAGATATAAAAGATCTTTCAGTTCTGCAGAGGTGCAAACTTGGGGGAATTGTTGGAAATGCTATCAACTATTCAGCAGACCGATGCTAGAGACATGAGGTTTATTGGGGGACTGAACCAAACAGGGAAGTACCTACATGTCACTCTATAATCTTATTAGTTCAAATGTAAGGTAAATGCTCATATGCAGGATATACGGAGTGCTAACTGCTAATAAACTGGCCAGTAAACCTACACTGAGTTGGGGGCGATGAAAACTCTGACCCTACTACTTCCTACTACAGACTGCCCAATTGCTAGAAGTTTGTGGATACAGGCCTCTGCTGAGCTGGTGCTTCAGCAGTTATGGGATTAATCCTCCTTTGTTGTTTCAGGCTTGTATAATCATTTCTGCTATCACGGTGTCTGTCTAAAAAAAACAGAGTCAATTGTATTCTCACTCATCAATGACACAATCTCCCTGACACGATTCATTTCAAAGTTCAAACTCTCAGTACCTCAGTAGCCCTATGCGATAGCATTTACGATTGTGCTCATCGATTTAGGTGCCCTCTCATTACTAGTTACTGCAGACGGTACCTTGGCCCTCGCTGGAGCGCACGAAGAGGTCGGCGTGGGTCGGAGGAGGCGGGCGGGCCGGGGTGGTCACGGGCGGCGGCGGCTTGGTCTTGGCCTTGGAGGGCTTGGGCGTGGCCACGGTGGCGGCACCCGGGTTCATGTCCCAGGCGGCGCAGACGCGGAGGGGTGCGCGGGCGCGGGGGTGGTGCGTTGCCATGGTCATGGTCGCCGCCGCGGTGGCCATTCGCTGCTCGCGCCGGCGTCGAGGATACTACTGGACTGGATAACACAGCCGTCAAAGATCTTTTCCCCACTTTTCTCCGTGGCACTCGAGGGACCCACCTGCCAGTAGCGAAACGAATCCTAAGTAATATGTTTAACAACTGTGTTGGCGTAATTTAAGTAAAACGTCTTCAGGACCTCGTCTCGACTCGAGCGCTTCAACGCGACTCTCCTCCGCTCGCCGCCATCGATTTCACTGGCTTTCAATTCGAATCACAAATTTCACCTCCTGCAGTGTTTCTTGCTCCTGGAATCTTCGGAACCGAGACCACCGCGCCACGCACCAACCCTACCGGTCGCGGCTTCCTATACCATCCCGTGGCTAAACCCTAGCCGTACTCCTCGCCGCCGGCGACCGCCGCCATGAGCCGCTACGACGGCCGCGCTGCGGACGCGGGCTCCTACCGCGACCGCCGCAGGTAATTGACCACCCCCACGCCCGGGCTCTAAACCCTAAGCCCTGGCCGTGGCCCGTGGCCGACGCGAGCTGACTGACTCTGCTTCCGCTTGTGTTCCATCCAGCGAGGGGGCGTTCGGAGGCGGGTCGAGGGCGTTCGCGGCGCCGAGCAAAGGGGACGCTTCCGCGGCGGCCTCGGAGCTGGATGGGCTGCCGCGCTTCGAGAAGAACTTCTACGTCGAGTCGCCCGCGGTGGCCGGCATGACGGAGGAGGAGGTGGAGGCGTACCGCCGCCGCCGGGAGATCACCGTCGAGGGCCGCGACGTGCCCAAGCCGGTGTTTGAGTTCGGTGATGTCGGCTTCCCAGGTATGATTATGAGGCTGCTGTTGCCTTTTGCAACTACACAGGTTAAACGTTCGGTGAATTAGGAGGTGATGGAGTTCGTCGAATGTTTGATAAGACTTCTTAGTTGTGACACTAAACCCAGAGCGCGCAATCTTATCCTACTACATGAGTTAGATTAGTGGTGTTGATGTAGCTAATTTGAGTTCCTTGCATATGTTCAAGTATGCCCAAGCCACACCATGGCACATGCACATAAACAGAATGTTTGATTAGACTTCTTAGTTGTGACACTAAACTCAGAGCGCGCAATCTTATCCTACTACATGAGTTAGATTAGTGTTGATGTAGCCATTTTGAGTTCCTTGCAGCACTCATAGACTATAAACACCTATA